CTCCAAAGGTTTACTGTGATGTGAACACAGAGGTGGATGTAACAAAGTTATCTGAGTGGGGCTCATTGATTGCACTTCCTCAATTAAATGCATCTTGTGATTTGCAAAGAGTCTATAAGTTGTATGATGATCACAACAAGTAGAGCACAAGTACTGTTTGCAATCCTGGCAGTAGTATTTTACCTTTCCTTCCTTTCCACAAACACATTTCATCTGATCTTTTTCTGAAATTTGTTCCATAGTTTCTAATAAATTATTTAGAAAGGTATTTGGTGGAAGCTTCTGAAGCCCGCCCTTTGGAATTGGATATGATTTTGAGCATGTTGGACAAGTCAGTTCACCATTCACCTTAACCCAGTCTTCTAGACATGCCAAACAAAAGCTATGTAGGCAGGTGAGGGATTTCGGATTCTTAAGTCTGTTAAAGCAGATGGTACACTCTAACACCTTTTCATCAACATTTTCCAGAAACTGATTCAACTTGCTGGTAGCCATCTGAGAATAAAATCCTGTAAAATAAAAAATATTTTAAAGTAACAATATACTTAGGCCTAATAATGTTACAGTGAAGTAATTGCTATCCTAATTTGAATATTATTTACTATTATTTCCAAGCTGCAACCTACAAGCTTATCAAGCACTGTTGCTCCACTATATGTGTGAGCATTTTGGTATAGTTGTATCAGAGAAAGTGCCGGTGGGTTAGATCTGTATATTTGTTTTATAGATGTGAAAAAAAATATTATTAACAATATTTCAGCATTGCTTAATTTTTTCAGTTTTTTTATAAGAGCATAATTAGGTACTAAATTCCACACTTCTCTAATCACCTCGCTGCTCCAGTACTGTTTTACACTCTTCATCACCATCTCTAGACAATTCCTTGGATATTCCCTTAGATGCTAGCAAGAAAATCGTTTTATGAAATCAATGTTTCTCAAGGAAAGTTATTCTAACATTGTTTTCTTTTGTAATGTAAAAACAATTTAAAATAATAGAATGCAGTCATAGGTTGGATTCACACTAGAGACCTATTATCAGTATCAGGAGTTAACCGTTAACACCAGAGTGGAAACGGCCAATGGATTAGCTTTAACCGTTATCAGGATCTGGATTCACTAACGGTTAGCGAGCGCTATCAGTCTGTTGCACTCATTATTAACCAATCACATGTACGCAATTCCAATTTTTAGTTTCCTACTGGCCAGTGATCCTATTATCTTGATAGCTGGATCAGGTATTTCCTAGTATGAATGCACGGGTAAGCATATCTGATCCTTCTAACTGTCAGCTGGTGTGGGTGTGTGCGTGTGTGTGTGTGAGAACATAGCCTAGATAATGTAATATTACTGTATGGCAGTCCGCCATGTAATATTGTGTACCTGTAATATTCACGTTGGTGTGCCCGATTCCAATGTATGTTCTGGATGCAAAGACTGGATCTTCACTATGATTGTAGTGATATGACAAGCGAGATGGTTTACTTTTAATAACTGAACTGACTACATCTCTTCTGGTTTTAATGCAAAGCGTTTATTTACTCTTCTACTGCATGATATATACAAGTAGGGTTGTGAGATGTAGTGTTTCCTTCAAGGTATCAGAAGGAAGTCCTCTCTAGATAACTAATACCTGTACTTTACTTTTCATACAATCTTGGGGTGTGGTGGACTTTCTCTGATTGGTTGAAAGATATCACCTTATCCTAATCATTTGACTATTACATCATTTTGGGGAGTTTCTATTGGTCAGATAATATAACAACTTTGGGGGTAGAACTTAACATATATTTAGTAACGAGCTGTCTCTCTGTCGAGCTTATTTTATAAATCAAATGTAAGGAGTTGACCACTTGGGCTTTTTGTCATGAATTGGCTATTGTCCTATCAAAGACTTTATATACAATAATTAAGAAGACATTCAACAGGTGTCTAATGGGTTAGTGAGGTAAAAGTTCAGTTCAGTGGTATAGTTGAATTGACATATATAGTGTTGGTTATCTTAACACTATATAACAATAAACCTGTCCTCATATACACTATAGCCCTTATTAATGTCTCCTTAATAGGTGAGTCCCATGAGAATGCGTAGGCCGTAGTGTTAAAATATACTCTCCAGCTTTATAAGTTGTGTTCACTATTTAGTGGTGTCCCCTCAGGGGTGTTCCAAATTAGGGTTTCTGTTGTACTTGGAATTGTATTGATAATGTTTCTGTTGGAAATATTAGATTTTCAAGAAAAACAGAAAATTTATGTAAAGGGTTAGGAGGCAGTGATGGCACCAGGATTTGCTGGGAGTAAGGTTGAAATGTTTCTGATGGGAATTAAGGCGGATTTCTCCAAAGAAGTAGGTGAACTTGCATAGTATTTAGTACAGCCTTTTCTTTAAACCAGTATACTTTTAGCTTACTGAGCACCGCTTTGTATTCATTTTCATCGATGTACGTCATCCATTCATCTATGAACTCTTGCTGATGTTCCACTGGGACTAATATGTTAGCTAAATCTTTGATGAGCTTTCCACTAGAATGTATTTCCCATAGCTGCATCAAAGCATTAGGATCATTTGTTGATAGGTAAAATACTATTGATCCTTTTCCCACCTTGGTAACTGTTAGACCATAACGTTCGTAATAGATAATAAGTTTCTTAAACTTTTCAAAAAATTCTGGTGTATCCTTTAAAGTTAGGAAGTCTTTATTTTCATCAAGTTCATTTAAAATATTAAGAGCATACTTTTTACGTGGTCGTCCTTCAGAATCACAGGATTCTCTTTTGCGTTTCTGAATTACTTTCACAGCAATTTCTTTCAAAATAAAAGATAAAATGACATATTTTAAATCTATAATTATTAAACAATCTAGCATATATAATTTATACTTCACATGGTCAGTAATCAACAATATCTGTACTGTAGATATAAAATGAGAATTATGACATAAGAGTTGTTTTGAGTAAACAGTATTGTCTTCCACAGTGTGGCTATGTTCACACACACACAGTGTAAGGCTGGCGTAAGCCTGGCGTAGTGTACGCCCTTTTTGTGTGAACTAGGTAGTTGCTGCACAATGCTAGCTGAATAATCAGAGTAAAATTGTTCATTTAAAGTACAATCATCAAGTTCACTTTGAACAATAGGCCTAATCATATCAAGTTCACTTCAAACAATTCACATATTTAAAAGTATTAATGATGCACTCTAAATATTTTTACTAAAGTTGAACCCGTACATTATTATTTCAAACTGAAAACATTCCTCCATAGGCCTATATTATTACTAGTTTATTGCCAGCGTTATAGCGAACGTTTGTGTGAACGGTTTGGAATTTTAACTCATGGATTAGCTTACGCCGGCGTAAGATTCACCAGTCTTACGCAGTGTGTGTGAACATACTGTGTGTTAAAATATGGAGGCATAAAAATGTTCTTCAAGGTTAAATGAATAATAAAGCAGTTGAGTAGCTTAGTATCATTTTAAATGTACTGTGGGGCAGACATTTTGTACCTGTTTTTTCATGCATTTCTTTTTGTTAATTTTAAATTGTTAATTATTTCCTTCTTTCCTACATGAACTTGGAAAACAACTTTAGTTTTTGTGTTGTAATTATAATGATCAACCATACTTTACATGAACATGTGTAATTACCTTCACTAAGGCTATGTCCAGAGTTCGAAGATGCATTTGGGATTTCTGTAAATAAAAGTCAATTTAATATAATGCATTACAAATTCTGAAGGTAGACATAATTAAAAGTTTAGGGACAATGGTGTGTCACCATTGGGGGCAAGAGAAGTAGATCCTCAAGAAAGTCAGGAGGACAATTATTCCAAAATGTCAGCATGGGATTGTTACGCCTTAAAACATTGCCACTGCAATAAATGGAAGATTCATTAAAGAATAAATCTCTTAATTTTCGTTTTAGTAACTCATAAAGCAATTCAATATTAAATATAATAATCATATCCATTTCTTGAGTCAACACCCACTGGAGCCTCATCTTGGTTGGGGTTAAGGTGCAAAAATTTAAGGAAATAGTAGGCCTCCCTCTAGATGGCTGGATGTGGACATATTTTAATAGTAAAATTCATTATCATCACCCGTTTTACTCAGAATGAAGATTTCTTTTTATCAGCGATTTTCAGCAACCATACAGATCTATGATAATCTCTGTGATGTACTGTACCACAGGAAAATAAAACTTTAACGTTCTTTGATGTAATAAAGTAGCAAAGCCAATAATACTGCAGATTTTCACTATACCCTTGATCAGTTGTTCTCAAAAATAAGGGCCAGAATTGTTCATTGAATAAAAGTTTGAATTGCCAGGGCCAGAGATGATGGCACATAGTGCCCTCTGAGCACCACAGTTGCATATCACTCAATGGGTCATCAGTATACAGTATTTCTTTACTGTTTACTGTTGGGATACTTCTTCTGATTTGATTGATTAAATTGCTACAATTTATGGGGCAATAATATATAGCCACTGGCAGTTAGCTAATGCATGATGGACTGTACATATATAGCCACACCAGATGACAATATTAATTTGATATAAAAATAGCAATTAACTTGAATACCTTCTGTTAAAGCTTCCACAGCATGTTGGAGTTTAAGGGAATTCAGTTTTTCAATGAAGGCATCCATTTTTCCTTCACAAATTACCCTGTTGTGCTCCAGATCCATAATCAAACTCCATGTGTCTGCATATTCCTT